AGAACTTGGTAAAGAGGCCACAGGAATAATAGGAATAATAGGAGGAGGTGCAGCGGGTGCAGGATTAGAAGCATGCATACCAAGAGAACTGGTTACACGCAACCAAGGGGTGGGAGGGGACTCCGGTAGCAAAGATGGAGAACATGGGATAGGACGTTTAAATGGAAAGAGTTGCTCATCAAACTCGACATGACGAGCAACATAAAGACGATTATTCACCGCATCAAAGCAGCGATAACCAAGATGAGATGGAGAATACCCAAGAAAGACACACTGAATAGAGAGAAAAGAGAACTTATGCCGATTATATGGGCGAAGAAGAGGATAGACAGCACAGCCAAAAACACGAAGAAAGGTATAATCAGGTGGCTCGTGATATAGTGTAGTGAAGGGTATGAGACCTTGAAGAGGTTTACTAGGGTGGCAATTAATCAAGAACACATCAGTTTCAAAGGCAAACTCCCAAAACCGAAAAGGAGTACTAGAATGACCAAGGAAAGCAAGGCCAATGTCAACAATGTGACGAACGTTCAGCAGTGCCATTCTGCTCATGAGTGTGAGGGCACGCTAGACGATGAACAATACCTACATCCTTAAAGAACGAGTTCAGAGGACGAAATTCACCACCCCAATCAGAGTTGACACTTTTAATAGTGGTGCCAAATTGGTTTTCTACGAGAGATTTGAATTGCTTAAAAACATGAAAAACATCACTTTTATGCTTAATGGGATAAATCCATGTGAATAAAGAAAAATCATCAATAAAAAGCACAAAGTAGCGATAACCATTGAAGGACAAAATAGGAGCATGACCCTAAACATCAGTGTGGATTAAATCAAGAGGGTTAGAACTACGACAAAATGTAGAAGGTAAACTAACCTATGCAACTTCCCTAGGCAATACGCCTCACATTTATCAGTAGACGTGGACATAGATGAATGAGGGAGTTGAAATTGTTTAACCAAGGCATGAAGAGTGACATTATTAGGGTGTCCTAAACGAGCATGCCATTGACCTAAGGAAATAAGATAATCTGTCGGAGACAACGAACCACGAGCAGGGAGATCCAACCTATAGAAGCCATTATCGGCCCTACCTCGGAGGAGTAGTTCCTTGGTTGATAGATCCTTAACACAACAGGAGTCAGAATAAAATTCAAAGAAACAGTGATTATTCCGTGTGAATTGTTGAACAGATAATAAAGGTTTAGTGAGATTAGAGGCATGCAGGACACGATTTAAATAAAGAGGACGAGAAGATGATGGCAAGATAGTTTGATCAACATGCTTAATCGGTAAAGAAGCACCATTACCAAATAAAATATGATCTGTACCAGTATAATCATTGGCGATGTTGAGGGATGACAAATCTGGTGTCGCATGAGCGGTAGCAGCAGTGTCAGGATGCCATGGAGGAGGAGGAGCATACTCGACCATATGTGCTTGAGGATGTGCAGGTGCTGGTAAATGAGGGAGACTATCAGAAGTAGTGGTTGTGCGAGGAGGAAAATTGGAGTCAAAGCGGCGACAGCAGGTGAAGGCAGTGTGATTTGGAATATTACATAGCTGACAAACTGTGCGAGGAGGAAAATTATAGTCAAAGCGGCGAGAACAGGTGAATGCAGTATGATTGGGAATGTGACAGAGCTGACAGACGATTCCCGGAGGTACATTCACAGGAGAAAAAGGGTAACCATGAAGTCCACCCCGATTACAACGGGGATGTGACATTTTTTTTTTTTGAAGCAACTGAAGAGAGAAGAGACTAGTAGGACAAAAAAGTTTTCAGCAGTAGGAAAGGATGCATGGCGGTAAAAGAGGAAGCACACGTGCCAGAAGAAATTATGAATTGCCAACAAAAGAAAAGGATTCAATTGTCACAATTATTAATCAAAAGACTCAATTGAACGAGCCAAAAAACTACCAGGATAGATTTGCACAAATCAGAAATATAAGAGCTGAAATAATAAAGTATAAGAGCTGAAATAATAAAACCTGAAAATTGGTCAAAGTGGGGCGTGAAGAGATGATAATGATGATGATGGGGGATGATGATGGCAACGGGCAACACCCAAAAAAAACAACACCAAACTGCAACAAAAAAAAAACAATCAACGTAACCTTCGTTACAACAACCAATCAACAAAGGCAACGGCAGCAAGCAGCAACACCAATAAAGGCCGCAACAATCAAGAAAGAGCAGCGGTAGCCGCGGCAAGAACAAAGGGAGAAGACAAGGGGGGCAGCAGCAGAGGCCTGAAAAGGACAGTGGGCGGCAGCAACAAGAAGTAATAAGTCAACGAACACAAGACGGCGTCAACGTCGGCAACAATAGCAAGCGAAGAAGCTGACTATGGAAGAAGAGGACAGCAAACAAAGGGAGAAACAAGGATTGTGGTCGACAAGGAAGAGCACATAGAGGCAAGAGGCCAAGGATTTTGGTCGGCGGCGGAGAAGAAGAAGAAAGAAGCCACGACCGGAAAAATAAAAAAACCCTAGCATTGATACCAATTTAGAATAATAGGAATTGTATTTTTCATCTATTATAATGTATAATATACAAGGGTATATATAGACAATAATAAACCCTATACAAAAGATTACTACCGTAAATACAATTATTACAATACCCATACCTCACCATCTGCATTAATGATGCCATCACCTAAGATATCGAACATTTTCCGAAACTCAGGACCCTTTGGATAGTTGGAGAAGTTCTTGCTCAAGATATAATGGACGTTGGAAGGATCACAAGTTAAAACAAAGTCAATATTGGCAAACCAGGGGCCTATGAACTCGGAAGTTCCTCCGGTTTCAATAAGGACTTCTGTCCCATAATCTTGAATCCGGTGAGCGTTTTGAATAAGAGCTGGAAGCATGCCAACGATAGGCCAGTTTGTCGGTATTGAGCTGTTCTTTCTTTCATGTTTGTTACCCCAAGAAAATTGATAGTAAAACCATGAACAAAGTAGAAGAGGAATCAGAATGAAAAATGTTCGAGGAGATTTTAGATATGTTTGTATAGGCATGGTTAGGATTGCCGTTAGATCGGAAGAGCTGTTCATTTGGTCTTTGTTTTATGTTTTTGTATCTTTTTCGAAGGACTCCAGCTCTCCACAGGCTTAAAAACTAATTTCGTATGGGTATATATTTACATCCGTTATTGAGAGCCTTCGGGAATATGTAGTTCATGATTTTAATTTTTGGTGTTCCATCTTTTTACTATTTCGAAGGGAAATGTACATTAACGTTTTCACCCAGAATGTTTGGAAATCAGCTATATTTGATCTAATTGACAAAAAAATGGGGACTGTGTAACGGTTTAGGCATTATTTATGACTATATTATTTTTTTTAAGAAAACTATATTGTTACTAACTAGATTGGAACATTTTAGTTTCAAGTGATTGACAGGATTTGGATTTCCAACTCTAAATCGAATGGTTAAATGTGTTAGTTACGGGTATCATTTTGTACCAATATGGAAATTTCCATGCAACCTATACTTCAATGAAGAACATTACATGCATATATATATATATATATATTACTTTTTTCACTTAGTGGTATCAAAGTGAAAATCGTGTACGACTACATGTAATTCCACTTGTTGGTTGTGGTAGGAAGTTTGGAACTAACAATGGTCTAGTCATTGTGAGTCTGATCATAAAAAGAGTTGGAACACATTGAATAAAGGATAGGAAGGAATGGGCAAAAAGTGTCAGCAAGTTGGTTTAATTTTTAGTAGCATTATTATGTATGGTACCATAATTGACAGGAGACTATCTTATGCATAAATGTGGGAGGGAGAAGAGATTTTTCTGATGATGGGTTTTCATAATTTGGAATAGAGAAACGAAAACAAGAAGATATTAGGCTGATTTTTGAATAGTGGGCGCTGCTGGTCCGGAAGTGACGCGGTTGTTATTTCATGTTCCAAATTGTACATTGTCTCAACCACATGGTCGTGGTGGGCGGATGTGGTTTGTGCACCATAGTTTGGGTGGAAGGGAACTCCCGCATCATGCAGTCTTAAATGTTTTGGTCAATTAGAGATTTACTATATTGCTGATCGTAGACACATCCTTTTAATATGAAGGAAAAAAATTACTTAATCTGTTCCAAAAAACTAAACACACACTAAGTTTTGAAATTTATACTAATTAAGACACACAAAATATATTATTTTCATATTCACTCGGTCTTTTATCTCATGGGGACGTTCATGAAAAACTTTAACAGGTACCATATTATAATAGTTTAATCCATAAATCTGATTAGTATTAAACGAAAGTTAAATTTTTAGCATATTTGTTATTTTCGTTCAACATAGTTTAGCGTATCCACGTTTATTCCTGAATTGAGGGAATAAATTTTAAGGTTCAAGTGCTTAAGTCATACATAGATCCTCATATTATTGTTTTATCAAACTTATTAAACTTGGTGGGAGGGTTGCGTGTGATAATTCAGAGTTAAGATGGAGGATAGTCGTTATTAGAAGATCAAACGTTTGATTCCATACAATTTTTGTATAGAAAAAAATTTTAAAAATAAACCTATAAGACTTTCTAATTCCTAACGATGAGAGTAGTAGTTCAAGCTGTCAATAATTACAACAACAACAAAAAATTATAATAATAATGCCAACCAAGTGAAATAAGAGATTCAAGGTTTCTCATTAAGAAAGTTTTTTGTCCGATTGGACAAGAAAAAAGGATAGTAAACTAGATGCGTTTTCTAGCGGCTGAAGACCACCGATTTAGGAGATCAAGGAAGCATTTCGCATCGTCTGCATAAGATAGACTGAATGCTGAATGGTGGACGGTCCGCCAGCAAGAAAAAGAAAAAGAAAAAGAAAGAAAGAAATAGTAGAGCGGGGAACTGTTTATTTCTCAAAGAAATTAATGTTGAAGTTATTATCACAACCATGGATATTTAAGAAAACAGAGGATACTTCGGGCTCTGTTCACTCTTCAGAGATGAGAGAAACAAAACTAATTAATTACCAATGCATTCAATCTCTAAAGAAACAGAAGGGAATAAGGGCTCCGTAGATTCTTCAGATGAGCTATGATCGCTTCTGTTTACTGGTGAGTCTGGAGGATGAAATGATGGTTTAGCAGGCAATGGAATTCCATCAACATCTCTTTCAAACATTTCCAACACTTCTCTCATTGAAGGCCGATCACTAGGGGTCATTTGAATGCACCACAATGCAATCAAAATCAATTTCTTGGCAATCTCCTCTTCTTCGTCGGTTTCATGATCGCCAATTTCAATCTTCCCCCCTTGATCCAATTTATCGTGTATCCACGTAGGAAAGTATATTTGACTTGAATGCTCAACTTGATTCATGAAATTCTTCCTCCTTCCTGCCATTTCCAATAGTAACATTCCGAAACTGTACACATCCGACTTGTACGACACCTTTCCAATCTTCTTGTAGAATAATTCCGGAGCCATGTAACCTAATGTTCCTCTTATTGCTGTAAGAGTTGCAATGCTGCCATTCTGTTTTTCGTACAACTTAGCAAGTCCGAAATCTGAGACTTTTGGCAAAAAGCTCTCATCAAGCAAGATGTTATGTGGCTTGATATCGAAATGTAATATCTGCATATTGCACCCCTGATGCAAGTATTCAATCCCTCGCGCAACGCCTCTCGCAATCTCGTAAATTTGCTTCAAACTAAGTGCCGTAGTCGCATTAGAGCTTTTTGATGAGAAAATGTATTTGTCCAAGGAGCCATTAGACATATACTCATAGATTAGAGCATGCTTTGAGAAGGTCACGCAAAATCCAATTAGACGTACCACGTTAACGTGACGAATTCTACCAATGGTAGCAACCTCATTCATGAAATCTTGACACTTGGTTTTTGATTTAGTCAGCATCTTCACAGCAACTAAACTCCCACTTCGTAACTTCCCTTTGTAAACCAAACCGTACCCTCCTTCCCCTAATTTATCTTTGAAATTGTTGGTCATTGATTTCACTTCTTTGTAAGAGTACTTAATAGGAATATGGCTATTGTTCCCCTGTAGGAACGCTTCTATCTTCTCATATATTGATAAATGCTTTCGACGCCACTTGTACACCAGAAAAATCATCAAGAGTACAGAGGCTATTACACTTTTTGCCATCAGTAATGTAACTGGAAACAGAGGGGAAAAAAAACAGAGGTATAACCAATTCTGTATGTGGCAACACTGTATTGTATTTTAATAATGGCTAGTTTGGTACTCTTTTTCCAGAAAAAATAATCTAATTTTAGAAATGTGAGTGTTAAAATTGGATTTACTAGATCTATGTGGTCTTAAAATTATGATCAAAAGTATAAATAGATATGATATATCATTTTTTACATATTAATTTTTGAATATGAAAGATTATATCATTCATTAATTTATAAATTTTAGTTTTCCAAATTAAACTACTTTTGTCAGGGTGGAAGGACTGATAAAAGGTCATCTTTTGATACTCAGTGTAAAAGTTGAAGAACATATAATTGTTGACCCGTTACCTACAACAAGGATAAAAACCCCAAAATCCCATCGGGCACCTACAAAACGAATGTTAATATAATGAATAATTGAAAAAAAAAAAAAACCCAATATATCTGGTCTATGCAAAAAACATATATGGTGACAATCAGTCATGTTATGTAGGTGATAAAACAGAGAGAATAGGTTTATGCATTCGTTTGTTCGTATATGTCATATTTAATAGTCTAATTTTGAAAATAAATTTAATTGGACTTGTGAGATTTGTATAATTTAAATATTGTGAAAAGAAATTATAAACGATTCTTGAGTGGCTGTGTGTAATTGAGGAAGAATTTAGGCTTCGTTTATTTTATTTATTTATTTATTTTTGAGATCGGCTTGGTTTATTTATTTATCTCAGGATATATGAATTTGAGAGGGTCAAAATATCATTAAAACAGAAACCTGCAAACACCCAAAAGAAAGGAGGAATGAAAAAAAGAGGGTGACCCACCTAGAGAGCCTAAGAGCTGCCCAAGTCGCTTGATCACCTCTACATCCAGTGTGCCTGCATTTTTCGGCATAAAAATGTTAAAATTACCATCAAATATTATGCTTCTGTTTCCTTTCTTTGCCGGACTTGTTTAGACTAGTTTAATTAATTTTGTCGTGGTAAATATTATCTATAATAAAAGTGGTCCTATGACCATTTCAAGAAGGAAAAAAACATTTCGAAAAAAATGTGGTCCTATGTGAGTGGTCATATATGAAATCACATTTGGCGAGCGGGCTCTGATATTATATGAAAGTTTATGGAGTTTCAATTTAAAACTAATTGACAATGAGGGAAGTAGTACATGAAACTTATATATTGAAAAAACAAGTTAGTTCTTACACAAAAAATTCCCGTAAATATCTTCCCCGTCACTATAATCTGACCAGCTCAGCAGAAAGCCAGAAGCCATCATACGTCGCAGCTCTTGGAACGAAGCGTTTTGCGTTGCAGAGTCATTGAACTTTGAGAAGAAAGTGTTATAGACGGTGCACGAATCTTCAATATCTGAAGCGACAACATCTTGACCAACCACAACATAACTGTAAGAAGAGGATGTGGAATTGGGATTACAGTTAAATTCACCAGTTTCGACATAAAGTGGAAATTTTGGTGGTTTTGAAACATGTTTTACCGGATGATTACATCCCAAAAACACAAACACAGAATTACGATGTGGTGGCGAATCAAAATAAAAATAACTGGGAGCCTTGTTGTTTATTTTGCTAAACAACTGTTGGTAATAGTTGAAAGGAACAATATTACCAGAACAGTCAAAGTTTTGCAATCTAGGATCTATGACGAGGAAGGTTTGATTTTCGTAGTCGATGTTTCTTGGATCCACGTAAACTTGTACGCTAGGATCCAAGTTCCACCCGGTACGATTACCATGACAAGAAAGTTGAAAGATGGGATTGCCACAAAATTCAGGATGATTTTGAGATCGGAACGGGTACTTCAAATAGAAATCAGTGCCCTCGCAGTTGAACGGGATTTGATCACAGGCGGGTTTACTATGGTTTGTGAAATGGGGAAAAGGACTACTAGGAAGACATCGGACCCCGGGAAAGGCGAAACCTGCAAATGAAAAGAGAAAAAGAGAGAAAACAAAGAAGAAAGAGAACAAAAGTACCAAAATCTGCAGTGGAAACATAATATAGAGAAAAACTATTTAAGAGGGAGTGGAAGGGAATCGATTTAGACTATAGCACAATATATAGACTTATGGACTTTTTCATTGTCATGAGTATTAGCGATTCTTATAAGTTATAATATCAATGGTTCATTATAACTAATGGAGAAGCGCATCGCTTACTGTTTGGAAACTTTGAATCTCTAGCTAGTTTCCAATAATTGAATGCAACCTTCCCCGCTAGCACATAACTTTCAAATTAATCCAATTAATGTTCCCTTTCGGATGATATCATTTACTATTAGGTGTATTGCTTGCTTGACTTGTTTTTGCCGGTCGTTTTACGTTGGGATTAAGTCAATGTGAAAGCACCATTTTTCCTTAAATTATTTCTTGATCAACTTAATTAGTCAACCTTTAAAGTCAGTCAACTCTCGTTAAACATTGATACTGATGTACATTCGTTTGACTTTGGACATGATTTTCGACATCTTGTATCAAACCTTCTTTTTACGGTATATGTAGTTGGACACGACTAAAACTACTAACCAGTCCCTTCCACACTTTTTGGACATGTCATGGATGCTTCCATATGACCCTTACACACTTGGCCAGACGGTAAATTCAATTTGTTACATAGAAAAATTATTTATTATCATCCATATATTGCGTTCCCTTTTTAGATCTTCTAGTTAATTAGAAATCCTTGGCACATAGTCTTTTGATTGTTATAGGCGGGAACAAATTGAAAAAAAAAGAAAAGAAAAAAGGAACATTGAGTACTTTGTAATTACCATAATTTATGAGGTTGAAGATATAAATTAGCTATTTTATACTACCTTTGTCTCAAAAAAAAAAATCCACCTTGAGTTTTTAAATTAATACTAAAAACAGTACAAATATCAAAACTAAATATGGATTATTATTTTTTTTTCCGATAACGACAGTAATATAATGAGCTTTTCTTGTAAGTGGAATTGGGGCATCGATGATACATTTAAACTCCTTACAGTTAGACCATATGATTTTTTTAGTAAAATAAAATACTTCCTTTGGTCCCCGTTATAAGGAATTTTGATTTCTCTTAAATTTATTTTATCGTATTTTTTCAATTATAAGTGAAACTTTATAAATGATTCATAATAGTTAGAAAACACAAAAATATAAAAGTCCATTTTAAAGATTTTATTTTGAATGAGAAAGAAATTAAAATGACCTATAATAAAGAAGAGGGGAGGGTAACTAAATATGTTGTGCAATAATATTTCCAATGATATTATTGCACAACAAATGGAACCAACTGCTAAGGGTGAAGGAGAAAGCGAATGATCAATTTTTGGATAACAAATGGAACCATAGTGCAACAGGTATGTATTCTATTGCTTCGGGGTATAAGTGGTTGATAGGAGAGCATGAAAGTATGCCTGATACTTCTTTCATTTGGTCAAGATTTAACTTGCCAAAGCAATCTTTTATTCTGTGGCTGTTCTTGAAAAAGAGACTTATGACTAAAGAAAGATTGGCCAAACTGTTTGGTATGCAAATTAATCCTGTGTGTGTTCTATGTCAAAGCCAGCCTGAATCTTCAGAGCATTTATTCTTTCAATGCTCTTTCTCTATGGAACTGATGAATAGAATTGTTAACTGGCTTGAAGTGCAAACACTCTCTTGTAGTCAGAGGATATGGAGAGAACGAGTTCTGATAATTTGGAAGACCTCAAAACTGAGAAGAAGCATCCTTTGGGCTATTATGGCAGCTGTTGTGTACTATGTATGGGAGGAGCGAAATGCCAGAACGTTTGATGCTACACAGAGGACAACGGAGAAGATAATAGAAGTGATCAAGAAGGAAGTTCAGTGGAGAATATTAGAGCATTGTTTGAGTAGTAGAAGGGCTGTAAAGTGCAAAGAGATACTAGATCAGTTCTTTTAACTGTCAAATGTACAGTAGTAGGTTGTTGAGGTAGTAATATGTAATAGAGTAATTTTGGTGTAAATATGCACTTTCTTTTCTCACAAGTTATAAAATATTTACAATTTACCAAAAAAAAAATATTTCCAATGATATTTAACTATATATATATATATTTCCAATGATAGAAGCTTATTCAGACTCAGACGTTTCTGCTAATGATGATAACCTGGTGCGCTCTGAATTTGGAATAGCTGTTTCTTCTGCAGTGCCAGAGGAGGCAAAAGGGTTTGCTGGGAGAATGAGATTTTCACAATTTCCTTCAAGTATTTGAAGAACAAATGTGATCGAAGGACGATCCACTGGGTCCCACTGGATACACCAAAGCCCTGCAATTGCTAATCTCCTAGCGATATCCTCCTCTCCATCAATTTCCTCAACTTGAATTCTCAATTCTTCTCCTTTAACAAGCCTTCCATAAACCCATTCAGGAAAGTATACCTGGCTAACGTTTCGGACGTTGGTGTCGATGTTCTTTCGCCTTCCCACCATTTCAAGCAATAACATTCCAAAACTGTAAATATCTGATTTGTTTGTGACATTTCCGAAGTGCCTGGAGAAGACTTCAGGGGCAATGTATCCCATTGTTCCTCTAACAGCCGTCATGGATACCGCGCTTCTCCCCTTTTCGCACAGCTTGGCTAAACCAAAATCGGAAATCTTTGGGACATAATTCTCGTCCAGTAAGATGTTATGTGGCTTGATATCAAAATGCAGGATTCTCTGCTCGCATCCTTGATGAAGATACTCGATTCCTCGAGCTATTCCGATTGCAATGTCTCGCAATCTTTGCATCCCCAGATGGTGATGTTCTTCATGACCTTTCGGAAACACAAACTTGTCCAGAGAACCATTGGCTAGGAACTCATAGACAAGAGCTCTTTTGACTCCATCTGCGCAGAAACCTAACAAACGAACTACATTTATGTGGTGGACTTTTCCCATTGTTTCAACTTCATTGATAAATTCCTCCCCGTTTCCATCGGAATTGTGCAACATTTTCACTGCTACGAATATGTGATTTGAAACCTTTCCTTTGAACACATTTCCAAAACTTCCTTCGCCTAACTGCTCCCTGAAGTCATTCGTCATTCTCTTAATATCAGCGTAAGAGTATCGAGTTGGATTCATTGCTTCATAATCTTTTAGGAACTTCTTCATCATCTTTTGGTTTTCTTCGTCTTGTTTCTTCTTGGAATAAGCAATATAAATCAAAGTGGTGACTATTGTGAGTAACAGGAACCCAATGACTGGACCTATTTTCAGAAGTAAAAATTAGTTACTTTTCGAAATCAATCTCATCCAAATTAATCATTTTTTACAAAAGAAAGAAAACTTACTTATAATATGTGAAATCTTCACTTTTTTAACTGCAAGATCCAAAGGGCCATTTCAGCATTTTATTTCATTTAAGTAGATTGATCAAACTTCAAAGAACAGGCCTATTCTTAACCAAAAAAAAAAGAAAAAAAAGAACAGGACTATTCAATCCGAACAGGGTTCTAAGTTATTTTGGATTTTGGAGGGAGAAAAGACAGAGAGAAAACTCATACCAGAGTGTGAAAAACAGAGGATTTTATCGGTTCCATTAATTTGCCTCGTACAAATTCCACCCTGCATCTCACAGCTTTTGCAGACCGGCAAAGACCAATTCAAACTCACAATTGTTTCTCCTTCAAAACCATTATATATCCCTCCTAGAAGCAATTCTGTGTTGAACATCTTTGTACAAAACTGCATCGGCAATCCCAAAATATCTGTATCTACATCTATTGCAACCACTCCGAATCCCGGGCTTTCAAGACAACTAACGTTCCAGTAGTCTCGAAATGTGTCGTATTTCCATGGACTGGCTTCTGAATTAGCTGAGCAATTGAATAAAGAGAACCCATTGACATTTAATCCATAGAATCTAGAAATGATTTTGAAAGGGGTGTTTTTGGAGATTTCAAAACCCCTGACTTGCTTCGGCATACAATTTTCGGCTGGCTTCACTTGCATCATCTGGGTCGAATAATCAATGCTTATAACCATAAACTTGATTGAAGAATTAGATGATGATGAAGGAATATCAAATACAGTACGGCCCGATTCATCGCAGTAAAGATTGTAGCTTTGGTTATAAGCACAATTTGGCGGCTGCTTGCCCTGTATACGAAATGGGAACCTTACGGAAGGGCCTTTGTGGCTGCATTTCAGCTTTGTCGGACAGATATCATTCCGGCCGGGAACACTGGCAGTTGATGTGTTTCCTCCGGCAAGGATTTCTGGGATAATCATTGAAATAAAAGAGATGGTAGCTATTATTAGTGTGATCACCCTTATGAGTTCCATTTGAGTTAGCTCCGACTTTATTTCAAGATGGGAGAAAAACAGAGGACTTCTTCTATTTTCTCTAATGAATTTGTTCAAAACAGAAATGAAAATAAAAAATTTCCTGGAGAAATTGATTCATATTATTGCGTTCTGAATGAATGTATAAGAGGATTAAAGAGAATGTACTTTGACTTTGAAACGTGTGGAAGGCTGCAGAGTCAAACAAGCTTTAGAGTGTACAATTACTAAGAGTTGATCAGAGTGGAAAGTTTTGGCTTGGAGAAAACGTTCTCCAACTGGGGTAGGGATGATCTGCGGGTGAGATTTCAATGAGTTTTGAAGTTTCAACATTGAAGTGCGACTCTAACAAGTAAAAAGACTAAATATCAAGGTTGCATTCGGACAATCCAGACATGAGACTTGCATTAATGATTAAAATATTTATTTAGTTATTATCTTTTGAAAAATATATCGATCTTAAATATTTAGGTAGTATTATCGGAACATGGGTTTAATCATTATATATATTAAATGAAAGAAAGATAATTGACACGTGTCGCTAATTGAGACCATCAAACATCGCTTTTAAATTATTATCATTTTAGTCCTTAAAGTTCTATTTATGTGCTACTTTGTCTCTAATTTTATCGATTTTACATTTTCAATGACGATTAATTGTGTCTAATCCCCAAAGTCCCTTTGCTATAAAAAAGTTATAGGCATCTAGACATAATTTACGCATTTTTTAATATATTTTTTTATCCAAACATAACATTAGTAAGTGGTGACAATTTTTATTATACAACTTTTCAAAATTTTTGTTGTAATATTTTTTGCAAATCTTACAAATATACATCTCATAAATAATATCAATACCTCTCATTTTGATCTAAAATTGATTAATCAAAATTTTTTTACAGTTTTAATAAATATTAATAACTACATTATCTAATTAATTCTTTTGGAAGATAAATTTTCAACATTGACAAACCCGCGCAAAGCGCGGGACACATACTAGTAATAATAATTATAAGCTTTTCATCCCTAAAAATAGTTCATATTAAGTTTTGAAATTTGTTCTATTTTTAGCACAAATATTAAAACTCAATGTGAACTATTTTTTGAGACAAAGAAAAGAATAACATATCAAATGATCATAACCCACGGTGGTATACATGAAATTTTTAAAATACCTTCAACTGTAATAAAATGTTAAGGAATTATTTTGATTTTTTTAATGCTATTTCATATTTCGGGATCTCAATTTTAAATCAATTGCATAGTTGAACTTTCGCTAGGGACAAAAATTATGCAGATCAACCGAAGACAACTGTGTTGCAATTCTTTAGGGCTACTGGTTAATCGAGTAAACTCGACAATTCACCCCAATCGAACCCGTTTCGAGACAAACGGTTTGAATTATTGGATGAATTTTGTTCGGTTCTATACTGATTAACTGAATAGATAATTCGGTCGGATACGGGCGGAAAAAAATTATTTCGGGCTCCGCCCGAAAACCCAAACTATTAATTAAAAAAATAAAAAAATATAATATATATATATATAATTAGTAACTTCCCAGTTCCCCGCTTCCCCTTCTTCGTCACCCCTGCACACGCTCCACAACATCAATCCCAATTCCCAAATCTCCATTCTCCACAACAACTCCATTTTTCATATCCGCCGCCCTGCCCACAGTCCACACTCCACAACATATCTGCCGCCCTGCCACACTCCACACTCCACAACATCTCCATTCTCCACTCTCCATTCACGATCTCCAAATCTCCATCTCTCCCACGCCACTCGCGCAAAAAGGACACCAGATTCGCCGCCGTCCGCCGTCCGCCTTCACTCTCGATCTCTCCCTTTTCGTTTAAGATCTGAATTTTTGGAGGCTTGGGAATCTTAGAATTGTTGTTTTTGTTTGTAGGCTTTCTGAAAATTAAGTTTTTTTTTTTTCCTTTTCACAATGAGTTTTCAAAATTTTTGAATCTGGTTTATTATTTGTTGTACTTTCTTCTTGAATTGATATGGAATGTTTGTAATTGCGAGAATGTTGAATTTGAATTGTGACTAATTGTCACTTGCTTGGTTGAAGGATTCAGAAGAAAAATAGGCAAAGTCTCACTTATGAATAGCTAAATTCGGTTGATCCGAAAACCGAACTGATTAAGTCGAATTTTTAAGCGGTCGGTTCAGTTTTGGGTGGGTCTTGCGAGGAAAAAAATTTCGATTAACCCGAACCGAATCCACCCAAACCACACCTACCCCCGAATTAGGAGCCCTGAATTCTTGCCAAGCAAATAATTATAGTCATGGTACAAAACCCCAACTAAAATGTCAAAAATAAGCCCAAGAATCAGCGAACAAACATAGTTTAGCCCAAAAGAATTTTGGTTTCGTAGTCATTGTTTGTTTTGGGCCTTTTTGGCAACCAATAATACTGAAATTATAAGCGCTAAACCAAAAAATTTCAGTAACATTTTTGTATTACATTCGATGTGATGTTACTTAATTAGATAATTGACACTTTTTTCTTCACTTAGCCAACTGAGTTTACTTAACATTTGGTTAGGATGTTGGAATATATAACCATAATACGTGCAAATTATTTAACTCGATCGGGCCACACGAAGCGTTAAAGGAAACCCTGTGCACAAACTAATATGAATAAAATAAGAATAAGTGTTTTGTTCTGCAATAGACATGTTGAATGAATTGATCACTCAAAGCTAAAACTTCAGTATGGAATGTTAGAATCATAATACTAAAATGATTTTCTGATAAACATGATGCTTATTGCTTAATTTCATCAAAAGTCTCTTTCTTTCCCTTTAATTTTGTTAATTTTGAGCTAAATTCAAAAATTTAAATTTTCTTTTTTTTTGAAATCCAAGGCAATACCTCGCAGAGAACCCCTATTTTATTAATAAAAATTTTTAGTTAAAAATGCAATACTTAAGACTTACTCAAAGAAAGAGAAACCATCGTACAAAAGTTTTCTAAAAACTCTAGGATGGTTTCATTGCAACTACTTCGAAGAATTGCTTTACAAAGATAACATATTATCACATAGCAATTCTTTATGTTTCTTACACTATTATTCTAAGAGACTGTCTCACAACGATTTACAAAACCCCATAATAGCTCTATCTATTTTCAATATAATAAGAAAATCAAATTAATCATTAACCGCATAAAGTAAATAAAATTAGAATATTACTTATTCCCAAGTGGGGAAATGATTTCTGGTCAAAGTCCAATAATCCCCTAATTTGCTTTGGCACTTGTCTTCGATTTTTGAAAAGTTTAAGAAACTCCGGATGACGCCATTTTAGCTAGTGAATCCGCAAGAGTTTATTTCTCGATACACATGATCTACTGTATAGTGATTCCTTTGAAGAATTTTTTTTAATCAAGCCAAGTGACCTTTGGTTTCTCCATGGATACAGTTGAGATTTTTCCAAAAGGTGAACAACTATTTTATTATCACAACTTACTCTTACATTTTGCAAGTGAAGAGACTCACATTTCTTTAATCCACATAGAATTCCTTTAATCTCAACATCTTGACTGAAAGCCTGCCCCATGTAATTACTCTCTGCCTATAAGAAGTTCCCTTGATCTCCTCGTATTACATATGGGGAGATGATTATGGCCCTATTTGCTCCGTTAATTTTGTTTTAGTTTCGTATGTTTGTAATCTTGGATTGGGCCGAACGCATGCAGCCAGCAAAATCACAACGGCCCAAATTATTTAATCATTTTATATCATTTCCCATACCATTAATTCAAGTCATCACTTAGACCGTCGCTACATTGGTAACACCACTGGCTGGTCCTAGACTCCTAGTCAAGCCACTACTTGTCTATGTTGATCCCCGCTACAGTGATGCCACCACCGCCAGACCACCGCCAGCAGTATTCAGTCAATGGTGATAACCGAGAACGTATTTTTTGATGAAACGAATTTTAGAATTGATGAAAGTAAATCCCGATGGTGGCGAGTCAACTGTCAACTAGGATGGGAACTTGCAAGACAAAGGTTACCACTCCGGTGTCAAAATTAGTCTAGTGAGAGAAATAAAATAAATACATACTTAGAGAGAGAATGAAAAGTGTGAATTAACTCCCTAAAATGAGTGTCTTGGGGTATATATAATTCATTATTTAGGAAGTGTCCAAAAGTTAGATTCATGTACGACCCACAATAAACCTTTTGTGCATTTGGGTAACTGGGCTCATTCCTTTAAAAGCCCAACGGAGTTCCTAAATGGGCTGTATAAGAAAATTACTTCATCAAGAGCCCCTGTTGAACCCAAAAGGGCCATGTGATTTTGGGCTTAACATCACAATAAGAAGCCCACTCTTGGGCCGGCCATTCTCAAACTAGAGCTTTTACCATTTATCCTAATTTTTACCCTGCAGGAAAATGAAAGACCTTGGGTTGGGATGAACGGCTTAAATTGCATCGACTCGCGAACCGCCGTAATGATGGTTTTGTTGAATCGAGGCGACCTTCGCCCTTCTCCAAGATACTATATAAAGGAGGAGATAGAATCATTTGCACTCTTCTCACCTTTGCTCCTGCTTTCTTTTCTCTTCTTAGCAATAAACTCTATTTCTCCCGGCGTACAGTTCCAGCGACCATCTTTTTAGCAATTTTCTCGGTCGAGGTCGAAGGTACTTATTTTCTTTTTGTTCTCTTGCTTTTCACCCTCATTGCCTCCTAGGGGCCGACCATGGATAACGAAGTCAGAGTCAGGGATATCCCAAGTCGTCTTCAAGTCGTCTTAAAAATAACTCCTAAAATTTATAAAAATAACAAAATAGTCCGTTTTCACTTTTTATTTTATTCTTTTCTATTTTGTTCAATTTCTCTTTACTACTTTTAATGACCATAAAAGTCTATTATATGAGTTTTAAAAAAATATTTATTTATTTTCAAACTTTACTGTAAAAATTAATCTTTGTATAGTTGTAACCCATGATTGTATTTATATAAGTATGTTAATTTTTTTAATAATTTTTTAGGGGTTATTTTAAAATTTTTAAAAACTACTGGAGTGTTTTTGTATTTAAATTTATTATTTTATTAAAAAATTAATAGAGATCCGTTAATTTGGACGAAAAATGGGTCGATTGGACGAAATTGGCAAAAATTTCAAACATTAGGGTAAAGTTGGCTAACAAAAAATCTATTGGGTATGATTGACGACGAAGGCAAAGCTTTGGTAGAAACGACATTTTTTCCGTGGAAATAGTCTTCATTGTATTTTGGATTAGATTTCTATGGCATAGTTCTGATCCAAACTTTGTTCATGTCGATCGGAGGCGTTGGCCGGCTTCGTAATTTTTCGCCTGACCGAATATTCTTCGTAATGAAATGTTCTGCTATATTTATTAATTCTGCCGTAGAAGAGATTACTTTTTATCTTCTTGAGTTTGAATTCATTTGATTGTAATCTCCTAAATAAGGTTTCTTTTTCGTTCTAAAAACGCATATGTGATGCAAAAAAAAGAACTACTGAAACAAAAAGCAGTTAATGTTCAAAAGTGTAAACTGATGAAAATAATTATTATTCAATTTATTCAATATATAACAGGCATAGAAGATCACAAATCAAATCAATTAATCAAGAAAGAGGTGATTGCATGGAAATGAATACATAAAAAATAATACCTCTTCCCCCCAAAAAAACACATATTGAGTTTTGAAAATTTGTATTCAAAACTTACTGTGATTGTTTTTTTTTTTTTTTGGGCAGAGTGAGTACATCATTATAAGCATGAATAATTCATCAAGCATAAGTATTGATCAATCCAGGAGGGAATTAGCTAGTAATGTTGAATGATGGCGTGGTACTCAAGAATATCATTGAGTTTTGCTATATCAACAGTAACAATATCCATGGTGGCATTCCCACGAGTCAACCGATATATTCCGGTACCTCCCAATATCGGCATTTTTCTATATTGATGAGATATGGGATTGTTCCCCAAAATGCTTAGAGAACTTCCGTGGTAATCTCCTTCTGTGAATACCAAATTGATAGCCATTGAAAGAACTGGCTCGGCTTGACCTACAAAGGTGAACGTGCCCTGAGCTCGGAAGATAAGTTTGGACTCCGGATCTGATCCAATAGTGATCGGAGCATCCATACTGTAGGTCGATCCAAAAGCAATAGATGCTATATTGTTAGTGTTGGCTGGAGCAACAAGAAGAGATGTTGGCTTATCAACTGTAACATCGTCATGGACTAAGAAATGGAACTTGGTGAAATTGGGTTTTGCATGATGCTGAATGTGATCATGGAACCATTTCTCTACTATTTGAGGGGTGTTCTCATGATCAACATTGTTACCATCAACAACCAACGAAGGAGCCATGATATCTATGTAGATAGAGCGGGATTGTGTTTTGTGAGTAGTTTTGAGGTGTTTGATGAAATGCTATGTTGAAGAGTTGTGTGATCTCCCCATGGCCTGCATTTCTCTATTTACTAAGTTACTAACTTATCGACATACCAGTAGTACCTAGTTACAAGTGGAAATTGTTGACCAAATCAAAAGCTTTAAAACTTGTCCATTTTGTCTCTTTCTAAGCTGCCATGACCATGAAAATGTCACGTTGACTGTGGATGATTCCCATACTGGACATTTCTCCATCAATTAATTCCTTAATGATTAGCCATTAATTACTAAAATAAATCGATAAAGTATGTTATTAATCCACTGTTCTCATTAATTTCATTAATATTTATTATATATCATTTACACAGCGCAACATTGCATTTTGCAGCAGTACGTATATAAGAGAATTATTTGTTTGGCAAATATCAAACAAGTTTAAATGGTGTTTTCAATATCCAATAGCTAATAGGCAACCTTAACCCTGACTAAAAAGAAGTGTACAGAAAATTTCTTAGCTGGACTTTTCTCAGTCAATTATTTTTGTAAGCAGATGTAAGTTAAATTTTTGACATCCACTTGTTTTCCTCAGTTTGCATCTGGTCATTTAAAATTGTTGCCATGTTTGTTGTATTGATAGTGAATAATTTTATAGGAAGCGAAAACTTGTTTTAGCTCAACACAAAATTTCATTTAAACTGAGGGTAATATGTTTTCCTAGAATTTACCATATTGGAAATATATTTTTTCCCGTTTCCTTTTGATAATCTAGGTTTTTGTTGATTTTTTTCCTTTTTTTTTAACAGTATGGACTATGGACAACTAATTTTTGTCATGTGATGGAAGAACTACGTTTCTAAATAACTTCTATCGGTTCAAAAGAAGAAAAATTTTGATTTGTTATATAGTTTTACTTGAAAAAAAATTACACTTTTCTGAACCAGAGGTTAGAGTATGTATCAGATATGTAAATATATTCCTTTTCTTCAGTTTGTTAGGAACAATATAACTTTCGCAATCATCCTGCCATCATTCATCAGGAATTTGGTTATTCATATCTAGGAGCACCTATTGAAAAAATTCAAGACTTTGTAAAAGGAATTAGAGAAGTTACGTTAGATTATAAAACGAAGTTTTGATTCAACAATTGTCAACGCCTAGATAGTAATTAAGTGAAAATTAATTACTCTCTCCATCAGGAAAAATACTAAAATTATAATTAAGTTCAACACAGTGTAATCTTTTTGGTTCTTCTTTCCACCAAATACAATCCCCAAAAAGAAAAAAGGGAAGGGAAAGGAAAAAAAGCAGTTATAAATGAGAAAGAGAAACTCCATAATACTATAACATGAAAATGTAAACTTAAATTAATTTTCCATTTCATTAGGATTTCTTTCACAACTTACTGGCGAGTTAGATTATATACTTAATCTCAAATTGCGCATTAAAAAAAAAGGAAGTCTTCATGATTAAGCACAAATGTTGTACAGTTATTGGATCGATTTCCTACAAATTCTTGGTTTCCAATTTTTTTAAATTGTCTTTTTGGCATATAACAAATCACCAAATAGATACACGTTTGGGCTCTGTTTGAGATTCATTCGTTTGGTAGACCGTAGAGTACTAATACCCAAATGATTTTTCTATTTTTATTATTACTTTTTTTGGTATTAACTTGTACAACTTTGTATTAACTTCAGTCAATAACTGAAAAACTGTACAAGTTATTATTATTATTATTATTATTATTGTTGTTGTTGTTGTTGTTGTTGTTGTTGTTGATATTTGGCTAACACACATTGTAAAACACCATCACAAACAGAGCATATATTTAAATGCGACATTTTTTTTCAATTTATTCACTAACATATATGTACAGAAGAAGATCACAAATGAAATTGAACACACATGATTATTACAAAGATGGATTTGCAAAAAATTTCCAAAAAGGGAAATTTGAGCAGCAACCTGAAACCAATAAATAATACTAAAACAGAATTAAAGTTTTAAATAGTTAATCAATCAAGGGAATCAGTAATGCTGAACGATGGCATGGTACTCAAGAATGTCATTCAACTTTGCAATGTCAACAGTGACGGTATCCACGGTGGCAATCCCACGAACCAATTGAAATATTCTGGTACCTCCTAATATTGGCATCTCTCTGTACTCATGAGATATTGGGTTGTTTCCTTGAATGCTTAGAGAACTGCCTTTGTAATCTCATTCCGTGAAGACCAAGTTGATAGCTATAGACAGGACCGGTTCGGCTTGACCAATAAGTTTGGAATTTGGATTTGAATCAATAGTTATTGGAGCATCCATAGCGTAGGTCGATCCAAAAGCAATCGATGCTATATTGTTGGTGGTGGCTGGAGCAATAAGAACAAAAGTGGGATTATTGGCGCTAACGTTGTCGTGAACAAAGAAATGGAGCTTCGTGAGCTTAGGTTTTGCATGATGCAGAATGTGGTCCTCAAACCATTTCTCCACAACATTTTTACCACTAATATCTAAAGAAAGAGCCATGATGATCTCAAATTAGCCATGATGATCTCAAATTAGCTAACTTGAAGGTTTCTTTGTGTAGTTTTGAAGTGTTTGATGAAATGCTATGTTGAAGAATGTGTGATATCTCCACGACCATTGCATCTCTATTTATACCAATTTCGTTAGGATACTAGCTAGTTTCCCAGTAAAATCAGAAGTTTGAAAATTTGTCCATTATCCCTTTCCTAGCAGCTATCCCCTCAAAAGACAAAATTAAGTGGACAATTCCTGTATTGGAAAATTCTTGGTCAATTCATTAATGAATAATAAGCCATCAGATTCTAAGTATGGAATACGTAGTAGGGAATTTCATTAATTCAAAATTAAGTAAAACCACTCTATGTATATTTTTAATCGTGTTAGATGCCCCCAATTGGCAATGAGCTTAATATAATTTCAACTCCTAGTATTTACGGCAGATTAACGAAAAACAAAATCTCAATTGGTCATTCTCCAATTGGTAGTAATTAAACAACCTTTGACAATGATTTATTCGAGCATGTCTAATGGACGTTTCCTTGCTAGGACTTTTCAGAGTCAAATATTTTTTAAGCAGATGGAGTCATTGTTGATCTTAAATCTAACCTGTTCAATCCAATTGTATTTCCATGATTGCATGCAAGGGAAAAAAAACTATCTTTACCTATATATTTATATTTTAGAAAACAAAAGTACTACAATATACTTCCTCCGGTCCTTATTATAAGATATTTTGATTTCGTCGTAGATATCACCTAAAATGTCTTTTTAATTAGAAAAAAAATCTTAAAAACATATTTTCACGTTTTTTTTTGTGTCCTACTCTTTATTATGAAATATTTTTTAGGTTTTATTTTCCATTTAAAAATACATCCTAGGTAAAACTTAGGACGAACTCGAAATGTCTTATAATAAGGATCGGAGGGAGTAGCCTATGTAGGTGGTGACGTTGAAACATCTTCTCTTTTAAATTACTCCCTCGGCTATTACAGATGATTACGTATGATTTTGGTGATAGTTCAAAGACCTATACAAGTCTGGAGCTAAAATATGTTCATAGAAAAACCCACTCAATGTATGTCTTATATATAAGGAAAGCATATTCAGATAAGACTTGATTCTTAGACCTTTAAGAATTTACTTATAACGTCATCACCAAAGGTCTAAAGATAATATATTTGAGTAGGCCACTTTTCGTAATAATAGATTTGGGGTCACATATATTTACCATTAATGAATTAATTAATAGTTTTAGAGAGCAGTCTGTTACATCTTTGTTTGTTTCAAAACAACATAACTCAAGCCTCAAGGCATCACTGAAGAAACCAGTGCAATTCCAAAAGTTCCATTTGATTCGAAAACTTATATAGTTTCATATATTATTTGGTAACTTTTAGTTTTTTTTTTTGGAAAAGAAAACCGATTTATTGATAAATTAAAAGTACATTTCTAGTGTCGTTTTAGTGTCATATATTATGTGGTACATCTTCCACTGCTTCGGAAAAACAAAATGATATTTCTAGTGTCAGTTGTTTCAAATTCATCTTTACTAGCGAGAACATTTTCTAGCAAGGCACCACGTAAACGGGGAGAAAAACAAAACAGTTAGAAATGAGAAAGAAGAAGTCCACAACACCAGAAATTAAGAACATGTGTAAAATTAAAGGCTTGCCACTATAATAAACGTTAATAACGAGACACTAATTAAGAAATTATGTCACTCTCAATTAAAGCATCACAGAGAAGAAGACTTGACACTTAACCACCGTTTTGGTTGATTTACACATTTTCTGGGTTCTTATCGGTTTATATGTTCAAATGATTAACGGAAAATTATATATTTATTAGGTGATATATCGAAGAAGATTACAAATTTATTTTTATCATATAACTATTACAAAGATTATAACGAATTAACATAATTATAAGCTGAGAATTGCTGATCAAGAACTGATCAAGCAATCAATAATGTTGGATGACAACATGGCACTCCAGAATATCGTTGAGTTTCGCAATATCAACGATCACGGTATTTACGGTTGCAATTCCACTAGCCAGGCGAAAAACTCCCGTACCTCCCAATATCGGCATTTCTCTATACTCATGAGATATTGGATTGTTTCCAAGAACGCATAGAGAAATTCCCTTGTAATCTCCTTCCGTGAACACCAAATTTATGGGCATTGACAAAACAAGTTCCTCCTGACCTACAAAGGTAACCCTGAGCTCGACCAATGAATTTGGAGTTAGGATCTGAATCAGTAGTTATCGGAGCATCCATAGCATAGGTTGATCCAAAAGATATTGATGCTATATTGTTGGTGTTGGCTGGGGCAATAAGAAGAGAAGTCGGATGATCGGCTGTAACATTATCATGGACAAAGAAATGGAGTTTGGTGATCTTTGGTTTTGCAGGATACTCAATGTGTTCATGAAACCATTCCTCTACCACCTGTGGGGTGCTTTCATGATCAACATTGTTACCATTAGCCAAAGAAGGGACCATGATGACGATTTCAGTAACTTTAGCTTGAATGGCTTTTTGGGTTTTCTCTGAAGTGTTTGATGGAAATAGGGTTGAAGATCGAGTGATATCTCCATTGTCATCCATCTATCTATTTATACACATTCAGTACCATACTAGTCTCCGGTTAGGAGTGGAAATGGTTGACTAAATAAAAATACTTGAAATATGGGCATTAGCCCTAGGTGACCTTGACCGGAAGAAAAGTAGCTTTTACATGTTTCATTTGGATCTTTCCGTTTTGGGACTTTTCTTTGTCAAAATTACCGAATAAGCTGATTTTTAATTCCCCAATATGGAATGAACCATGAACAAATTGAATAAGAAAAAAAAAACAAAAATCAGTTTTAATAGCATCCTCGATCAAGCAGCCATGGTTACAAGTCAATGTAGTTTAATTTACGGAAGATATAAAAAATACTTTGGACCATCTCGACACTGCCTTTTCCTTTCGGTTTTTAATTTATCCATTCATCTTTTTTTTCAACCTTCATCCACTTGTGCTTGTCATGTACCGCTAGACCAACTGACCAATTGCATATTAACAAGTAAACAAAAGAGTGAATTTCTTTCTCGGACATATTTATAAGTAATAATACTACTTTTATCCCAAAAAAAATTCCAATTTTAGAAATATAAATCTTAAAATTAAATTTATGATATTAATATAATGTGAAATTGATTATTAAATTGATAAATAGTTATCAAAATTTGTTCAATTTTTCACATTAAATTATTTTTTTTAAAATTGTAGAAAGGTCAGTGCCTAAAACTTAATCAAAAGGGACAATGTCATCACAAAGTTGCATGATCATTAAAAAGAAAGAGAAGGTACTATTGAGGTACTTGAGAAGAGCTGCGTACAAAAAAAAAAAAAAAAGATTTTTGGTCTAACTTAACAAGGCCTATTAAAAATCAAATTCTCTCTCTCTTAGTTTTCTCTCTCGGTGTATGGTAAGCAGAGTTAGCTAATCTACGCCAGCTATGGCAAGGGGGAGACCTAAGGGGAAAAAGGTCCAAATTGAGCGGGAGATTGTTAATGGAAAGTCGGCGCATGAGTCTATACCGAAAGATTTTGACAAAATAGTGAACCAAATGGCAGATCGAAACCAAGGAGTTGGGTCATTTGGGATTGGCAAAGAGGGATCTACACCAGAAGTACAAAAAGATTGTGGCATGGAGATGAATCTACAGCAACAACAAGGAAGCTCAGTAAATTAATGGGCATCACCTCTGATCGAAAATTGGATTGGTCAACGGAGATGGAGAAAGAGAAACAAACTAGGGTTTCAGTTTGGGAAAAGTTTGATGTCAAAAATTGCACAAAGGTGGACTCCCGTTGGATTTTGTTGAGCCTATGGAGAAAGAAGGGAAACTGATTGCGTTTGTACATGAACCGCATATCAAAGCTGAGATGGAGTATTGGAAAATGTCTGTAATCAGCTTTGTTCTTGGGGCTAATCCGCCATACACGGTCATGGAGAACTCCTATCGAAGGATCAGGAAACATCTGGGAGTGGACAAGGTACTACTACTTCCAAATGGTATCTTTGTTATCAGATTTAATACAATGGATATAGTAGATGAGGTTATAGCTGAACCTATAAACTATCTAGGAGCTAATTGATAGAGTCCATAATTGATGTTTTAAATGTAGTTCTTTTATGAGTTTATGGACTTGGATGGTTTTAATTCATTTGTTTTGACAATGTTTTGTATTAGGAGCTGAAAATTGGAGTTTACAACTTTTCGGAGCTAATAGATGCAAAAAGAGACTTTGAAAATCATCTAACTTGAGCAAAGATAGAAGTTTACTCCAATTATGGACTCAATTGCAAAACATGGAAATTTCTAGAGGTAAAAATTGATAATAAAGCAATTCTTGGACTGAAATCTACCATTGAAGAAAGTTTGGGCCAAATTGGAAGAAACTTGGAAGTGGAAGGACCAATGCTGCAATTTGTTGTTTAATTTTTGGCAGCATTCGGTTCACCTAATTCCTATGTTTTCTTGTTTTGGCCATCGTTTTTACTTCATTCGAACGCACAACCGAACCTTCTTTGTACGTACGCAATGGTCCAAGTTTTGGAGGTGGCCGGTGCATCGTTTTCTCCGGGTTTTAATTCTTCTAGACTTAGTATTATTTTTCTATAAATAATTTAGCTATTATGTCCATGAATATGAGTAGCTAAACCCTTTATTTCTGATTCCAGTGATTTAATTCAATTATTTCATATGTGAGGTTTTGGTATTAATATAATCTTGTCTATGGTTTGAGTTGTTTATTTATTCTTGTTTTAATTTATAAAAGTGAGTATAAACTGAATTGACAACTTGATTTTATTTACTTTTTAGTACTATCCTCATGGTTGTATGTTACGTAATTGTCACGAACCTCTGGAGTTTAGTAGCAACTAGGCATTACTTGTGCATTTATGAGACATAGGTGTTCTTGAATGCTTAGTAGAAGAATAAGCAAATCATAATTTAATTTATTGCAGCTCTCAATAATATTAGATTGTGTTTTAAGTATATTTCCTTGGTTTTATTGTTATCATTAATTTGTATAGAACGCTATCGTGCCCAGCATTTAATGATAAGTGGTAACTGAAGCTAGGTTTGGTTAATTAATTTAGGAGAATTTTATGTTTACGAAGGCTATCCTGGTATGCTTAGACTTGAATGCTTAAACTGCAAGAATAATTTTAGATACCCATGATCTGTAAAATAGTTAGATGATCCGTCCCTTGAGTCAGAATCTTTGTTTTATTGAATTCTCTCCTTGTTTATTTGTTTTTAGTTTTCAAAAGAAGTTTTAGATTTTCTTTTAATCTCTGTAGTTAGTAATCAATCAAGAAAATCTTTTTAGACATTGTCAAACTAAGAGCTAAGAAACTAGCTCCTTCGAGATTTCGACCTGGTACTGCTATTGCTGTAAATTTTGTAGTTTGGTAGGAATACCGGATTAATTTTGAGTGCCTCGACAAGCTCGCCAGATCGAAATCCCGAAGGAGCTAGTTTTTTAGCTCTTAGTTTGACAATGTCCAAAAAGATGGCGAGCTTGTCGAGGCACCCAAAATTAATCCGGTATTCCTACCAAACTACAAAATTTGCAGCAATAGCAGTACCAGGTCGAAATCCCAAAGGAGCTAGTTTCTTAGCTCTTAGTTTGACAATGTCCAAAAAGATTTTCTTGATTGTCAACTTTTACCTCCAAAAATTTGCATGTTTTGCAATTGAGTTCATAATTGGAGTAAACTTATATGTTTGCTCAAGTTAGATGATTTTCAAAGTCTCTTTTTGCATCAATTACCTCCGAAAAGCTATAAACTCCAATTTCCCACTCCTAATACAGAACATTGTCAAAACAAATGAATTAAAACCATCCAAGTCCCTAAACTCATAAAATAACTACATTTAAAACATAAATTATGGACTCTATCAAATTCCCCCACACTTAAAGTATGCTTGCCCTCAAGCATTAAAGAACTAAGAATTTTAACTTATCTTATTTCAAATGCGCCTCAAGAACTCTAGCACTCAAAAGAAATCCTGGTAACAATAAAACAAAAATTCACAACCGAATCAAATATATTATGTTTTTTTACCATTTAGCCCTTTGTGTGTGTGTGTGTGTAAACCAATCCTTAGGGACATCACTGTCACACATAGCATAAAATACAAAAATTCAAATGCAAATATGCCACTGAAGAGTGAACTTAGGATCCCCAATTCAAACCTTACTCTAATGCGATGTTACTCCTACATATATTATGAAACCGAAGGCTTACAATTATACCTCACATTATACAATTCAACGCACTTCCCTCGTACCCATTCTTCAGTGTTCATATGACTTTTTCAGGATCTTTCCCACTCAAGCCCCTACCCAGAGCACTTTTCCACTTGATGTATGTAGTGACTTACATAGTGGCTCAGCAACTTAGGGCAGTCTACTTACTCATATTTTCTCACCGACGGGCCTGAGGACGCTCAGTTAGTTGTTTGCCAGACTTCTCACCTATCAATGGGCTAGCATCAACATTAAATGCTCTTCCTTCTCTTCTTTAAATTGTACCTAACCTCAGAAAAAGCATCCGCCAATAACCTCCCCCCCTCCCCCCCCCACACTTACTTAGCAGAAAGTACTTTAAGCAAGAAGGTAAAAAAAGGCTATTTACAAATCACCACTCCCTCGTTTTTCGAGTTTGAAGTGATGATAGGTTTAATGCCTTATTTTGGGTTTCATAATATAGCAATGTCCCACATGCACATGGTACATATACTGAATGAATCAAATCAAACTTTGGCATATCACATGAATTTAAGCAATTGCACACACATTAACAGCTTATCCCAGAGTTACGGCTAAAGTGAGCAAGTATTCAGAGTATAACACATAATGCACCGACTCAAAAGAAATTTTTGTCCCAATGTAATTAGATTTCATAGAGTCTCAAGTTAAGTTCATCATCGGCTATTTTTGGTATTTTTATTTTTCTGATTTTTTCCTTTTTTTAAAATTTTTTTGTTGTTTTTTTTATGAAATAAAAACAATGAAACAAACAAATATAAAGCAGAAAAGAAACACTAAAATCCCTCCACACATAGAACATACATTGTCCACAGTAGCAAAAGATATAAAAATAAAGAGCAACACTTTCCTGACAACGTAGAAATCACTCATTAAAGTAACCAGCTCTAATCGCTATGGATTAGTGTGAAGTAGAATATTGGCCTGAGGAACTCCGAGGTAACTTGGACGGTGCTTGCGAGCGAGTACGCAAATGCCGTATAAGTAATCAACCAAACCTTGAGGCCAAATTCAACAACAAAAGAACAAGTTACCAATTAACACGACCAAAATTCACCAAATTAGAACCCAACACACGAACCAGAGATCAAATTGACTTCCAAATTCACCTCGTCACTCATACAATGCAACAAAATATAAGGACAAATTAAATCAGAAGAGATTGAGTTAAGAAAAATATCACAGTGACTTGGTAGCTTTTGTGAAATTCAGCAGCAGGGTGAACTCCAGCCGGCAAGACGAACAACAAGCCACAAAGGAGATGGGACGGCGG